GGAAGGGGTTAAAGGTTATAACAAATAAGGTTGGGAAGTGTTAGTAATAATGAGGAGAGTCGTGGTCTTGCGCGGGCCCTTCTCTCGTTCAATTCATTATAAAAAGGGTGGAATTTCCCCCTCCCGAAAGGTATCTCAATACAGTTCAGAATCGTACAATAATTCACTACAAAAAGTACAGATTAGCCCTTAACAATATAATTGTATTCCCTTACAAAAATCTTAACAAAAGTTAATAAAAGCCCTTTGACTTATAAAATAAACCCACATTCTTTTAAATTCGTAATACTTATCTTGTAATGCTCCTCTACGATCGCCTTGACCTTGTGCCAAATCGTAAAACCATCTCTATTATCTTTGAGGAACGTTACGCAGCATAACCATTTTTCTAATGACAATTCGTCACATTTGCCCCATCTCTGAACTCGTTTATTAAACCTGTCACAATATGCACCAATTAGATTTTTTTAAATTATTATTACCAATAAGATCATTAGATTAGGTGTAATGTAAAATTATATTTTTTTTAAAAAACAGATAATAACTAAAAATTTTGATGGAGTGTGATGATCTAGTGAAGTGAATAGGTTGTCAACTTCCAAGTAGCAAGTCTAAGGTTCAATTCTTATAAATAATGAATTTTGAAAATTATGCATATGTTATGGTAACTGTTTTTTGTCAATCAGTTGGGTTTTGGATATCTGTAATCTTAGATACACCAAGTTGGGTTTTATTTAACATTGGAAGCTTAGAGCATCTATATGAAGTGTAATATTATATATATATAAAGAAATGTAAAAAAAACTAGTGTTGTATAAGATTTTGATACAAACCTATAATAAGATCACTGAATATAAAAGACTAAGAAACTAAAAAAACAGAAACTCATTTAGAAATTTTGAATAAAGAGATAACACAAATTTTCATTAATGCTATTGAACTAATAGAAGTTCATAAAATATCTTTATAGGAATTGTTAGATAAACTAGATAACAAGATGTATAAAAAAGGGGGTGTGGCGATCTAGTGAAATAGTCAGATTGTCAATATCCCAAGTAGTAAGTTGGGTGTTCAAATCTTAGCAACAGCAAAAATTTGGATAATTATCTATGTAATATTCATATTATGTCAACTGTTACTAATGATTGGGTTAGAATACCTGTAATGGTAATCGCATCAGCATGACTAACAGATCATAAGGCATCTGTGTAATGTTGAAATTATACAGTAGAATACAAACCAACAAATTGAGTGATGTAAACACTAGATACATCCTTGTAACTATGTAAATTTATTGAAATTGGATAACAAGAAGTTTATTTGAAAAGACCTGAGTAGAAAGGTAACTGAATCTTCAACAGTTCTACTGTAAAGGCTAGTCTGTTGAAACAAATACCAAGGTCTAGTATCTGGTTGTAGTAATTAGACAGACAAGAAGCTTTGAATTGAAAGTCTCGAAAGTACTACCAACCAGGCCATCAGAACGAACTAGAAAAAAAGAATATTGAGTTAACCTGATATACTGATAAACTGATTATAGTCCTTTATAGGCTATCTGAATTAAAAGTTTGATAAAAAGGCAGAAGTATACTAAAGTATCAGAGTTATGCTATAAAATAGATGCTAAGGTCTAAGTAAACTCTACAAGAACATAGCAGTTTAATGATTAGCCTTGACTACAAGTATTGCTTCTGCTATAATGATATCTAAATCAACTATAAAAATAGGTACAAAAGGTTCTGAAAGGTTTACCTTAAGGATAAGTTAGTTCTAAGGTTAAGATAATGATCTGGGCATTTAGGTATAACCTAGTAATTTAATACTAGTACTTGAATCCAAATATAAAACCAGATATCCAGATAGACATTCTGTTTTAATTCTCTTAATCTGGATATATAAATAGATATTGGTTGGTTATCCGGTTTCAAATCTGAATTGTATTCAAATTTTAATATATATATAAAATATTATGTGAATAGGTCTGTTAAGGGTTACTCCATGTTGTCTCAATGCATTTGCATATTCTAATGCTTATTTAAATGTTTCTATTTCATAATAAATTTCACTACTTCTGCACTTCATATAGATTAAATAAAACTTTTTTTTTATTACTTAAGTTTCAAATCATTGGAGCTTAAACTTAGTTCTTATACAAAAATTACAGAATTTCTAGGCAATTTTGAAGCTAAGTATTCATCATTTTTCTTTTACTTTTTATTTCATATTATATAATGCTTTTAAATTTTAACAAATTATTGACTTTAATTCAGGTTTTAAATAATGATAATGATATTAATATTGTTAGATCATAAGTTAATCACTAAATTTAACTATATATGAGTTTTTTGATTATTGATAATATATTACTCTTTCACTTTCTTAGGATAGGGTTTAATATGATCACAAGGACAAAATTATTTTTAAAAAAAATTTATTTGGCACAGCTTCTACTTAATATGTTCGAACCTGAATAGAATTGAACAGTTATTCAGACATCAAAAGGTATCGTATTATTAGCTTTATTATTAATATATATTTTGAATAACAAGTTTGTTATATAGTTACTAAATAAGACAAAGTTCATTATATATTTATTTATTTACTAGATCCAATAAATATATATTATTATATTAACTAATGTTCATATCTACAAAATTTGATATTATTGTAAGTTATATATTGTAATGTGAAACTTTACTACAAATATATAATATAATATTGTTTAAGAAAAATAGTCAAAATAGTGCTTAGTATCCCTTACAATGAATATTATTTCAACTGTGACTCAAATATAGTATCCAAAATACTGATATTTTGTTTAAGAAAAAGAATTCTTTCAAATAAGCCAATATTAATTGATATAAATTTTGCTGTACTAAATTACCTGTACTCAAAAATAAGCATTCACTAGAGATTGATGTGGAAGATATAGTCAAATATTTCTTGCCAAATTGGCAAGAATCAGAAATTTTTTTTGAATATCTTTTCATTAATTAAGTGAATTAGTTGTAGTTGACATTTGATCTACTTTAAGATATTTGTCTACTTCATTTTTATTTGATGTTGATGTTACATCTGACCCAAATATTATTGAAAAAAGGTTCATTTGATTCTTATTTTGCTCTATATTCACTAAGCTGATAATACTTTTATTTCCAATACTAAGTAAATTATATTTTTCTCGCAAAAAATCAATAGCCTTATTATGTTCTTAACTATCTAATTTTTTCTTTGACTTATAATATGGATCAAGTAATATTGCAATTAAAGAACAATTATGAGATGTGTCTCAATAATAGTCTAATGCTTTATATAAACTCTCCTTTATTTTTTCTACTAGGTTATCTGTATTTTGAGGTTGACTAAGTTTAAATTTATCTTCATTAGCTGTAATAATTATTTCCAATTCTTCATTCACATCAACTATATTCTCTTCTTCCTTTTCATCAAAAATAGTTAACATATTTGTTAAATCAAGTTCTTTATTACCTATACTCATCGACAATGGCATACAATTTCTAGTAAGGGTAATAATAGCTAGTCACATAAAACTAAATGTAGTATAATTACTACCTCCTAGCAATTGTGTAATCTCGGCAAAAGATGCCAAAATTATAGTTAATTCCTCAAGAACTTTCTATTGTTCTTCTGTAATCATTAAGGAATTTAAGCAAATTGCATCTTTATAAATATTATAATTATTATCTGCACTTATAGTTGCTTCTATTAATTTAATAGCATGTTTAATTTGAAGAAGCTGTTTTCATGCAGTATATGAGGAATTCCAACGAGTTAGAATATTAGATATTGCATGAAAAAACTTTTGTTTATTGTTATCAATATTTTTATTAAACTTTTTACTAATTCTTATGCTTTTCATAATTGCTCATTTTGTTTAGATGTAGTCAAAAAGTTAATCAATCTTTTTGCATATTTTATTAAAACTTCTGCAAGTTTTAACCCTTTATCAATAGCAAGCTAAAGCATATGGGCTGTACAAGGAACCTACTCTATACCTATTAAATTAATAGCCTTAATCATATTCACTACATTATCAGTGATAATTGAAATTACTTTTTCAGAAATCCTCTAGTTATTAATTATTTTCTCTAATTCAGCTTTAATGTTTATAGCATCATGAGAATATAAGACATATTTAATTGCAAGTAAAGCTTCTTTTAATTCATAATTAGAGTTAATAAAATAATATGTAACATCTATATATCTGCTTTTAGAATGTGCAGTCCATAAATTGCATATTAATCCATATGTTTTTATTTCTGTTGCTAGAAGTAATTTAAGATTTAATTATAACTTTGATGAATTAGTGCCTTTATATGTTTATCAAATAGAAGTTCATAATATAGATTTAAGATATAAATAAGTTTAATAAAATTTTTATTTTTCAAGACATAAAAAGGTTGCAAATCTGTTACTATTCATTCAACCAAAGCATAATTGATAGATTTTTTTTGACAGGTATTTTGTCTAGCAGCATGATAGAACATTTTAGAAATTGTTAGTTGTTTGATTGCATCAACGACTTTGGCAGGTTTAGTAATTCTATGTGTATTTAAATATGCTTGAAAGTTACTAGTTGAACTCTGAGTCTTAACTAACTGCCCACATTCCTGTTGTCTATTAGTACCTTTTTATCTTTCACAATTATGATACAATTTCCACATGTTTTCCATTTTTGTAATAAATGTCTTTGGTAAAAATACTGCCAAATCCAACTAGCTTTTTTCACAATTTAGTTTTAGTACTAGGTTTTTTATTAGAACAGTTTGAATTATTATTTTTATTAGAATGGTCTGTATTACTAGTTTCATTAGAATGATCTGTAATCATATCAAGGTCTGCACTAATATTTTTTCCACTTGATAATTCATCACTAGAAGTATTATTATGCTCAGGATTAGTATCAGAATTCAATATTGCATTAGAGTTAGTATAGTCTTTGGATTTTTATTTTTTAGTACTCATTGTTATATACAGAAGAAAATTTTATTTTAATAGAATTTTTTTTCTAGAATATTTAGACTTTAAATAGAACTAATAACAAAGTATTAGTTTTATTCAGAATATATTGCTTTGTTATAGAACAATAAAGACTATTGAATAGGATAATAACTTTTAAAATTTTTTTTTTAAAAAAAAATTGATTATAATTCTAATTAATTATTTCTATTGTTTGAATTTAGATAAACATATTAAAATAAACTAATAAACAATTGATTAGAGTTATAGTTAAAACTAAAGGTGTAAATATTAGAATGTGAAATAACATACAGCATAGTTGTAACTGGGTAGTTACCCAATTTTATATGCTATAAGAAAGTAATTACTCTTGACTTGAGAAATGTCAGCATCTCTAGTTAAAGCTGTTTACTAAAAATATTTTTGAATACTTTCAGTAAATTCTGAACAAAAAAAATACTGGCTTCTAAAAAATTAAAATAAACTAATAACATTTATGTTAAACTTGTTACAATGCATTAATTTGAACTGATATAAAATGTCTTCTTTTTTTGAAAAAAAAGGCATTGCATATGTATATGGCATATCTAGTTAATACATCGAAACCTTATTAATTTGAACTAATAGAAATATATAGTAAAGTATTTTAAAAAGTAGACTTTTAGTAAATTTTGCCAACTAAAAATACTATGAACATATAAGCATACTAAATTTTCTGTTGCTTACAGAATACTGTATAATAACAATTATGCAATTATTGAATAATGACAGCCTTTAGTGTGATATTCAATAACTATTAAAACCCGAGAAAAAATTTATAAAATTAGATTACTATACTAACTAGAAAAAGAAATTAATTTGCATTATATGTTGTTTATTTATTACAAGAAAGTTTTTTATTTCCACAGGTTACTAAACTACTGCATAGCTTCTACCTAGTAGGAAATGAGTAACTTACATAAATAAATTAATTTAATAAATAGGCTTCATAAATTGATTATATTATATATGCAGATACTTAATTATTATTAAATTCAGATAAAATCCAGATTTGAGATTTTTTTAAAAAAAATCTGAATTTGTAATCTTCTTTTTTAAATAAATATCTGTTATCCTTTTTATATCCAGATATATCCAGATTTTGTAAACCAGATCCAAGTACTAATTCATATGACCCAGTATAATATATCTTAGTATTTTTTTTCTTTGACAATTCTGGCAGTCTAGCTAATCATATGCTTCTCTATACATCTTGTCAACTAGTTGCATATCTGTCTATTGATATTTTATGAGCTTTTATTAATCTGATAGCACCATTGAAGATTTGTGCTATTTCTTTAATCAGAAATTTTCAAATAAAATTTTGTTTTCTCAGTTTCTTAGTCTTCTGTATTCAGTGGTCTTATTGTAAATTTGTACTAAAGTCTTATGCAATATTGATTATTAATATTTTTCTATATATATGTATAACATTACAATTTGTATAAATGCCCAAGCTTCTAATAATAAGTAGAACCTAATTGGTTGTATCCAAGATTACAGATATCTAAATTCAACTAATTAACAGAAGACAGTTTTCTATAATACAAATTAATTTTTAAATTTTATTGTAGATGTGATTTGAATCTTAGATTTGTTACTTGAAGAATGACAACTCAATTACTATACTTGAATTGTTATTTTCAACTTTTAATAATAATATTTTTTTTTTTAGAGTTAAGATGAGGTTTTGCTCATATCTTTATTAATTTGTTAAAGATGCCTTCAGGAGCTTCTCTGGATATAAATTACAAAATCTATTCCAATTACAAATTTGTTACAAGAGTAAAGCTCAGACTATAG